CCCACACACACACACACACACACACACTTGCTGGGCCTGTTATTGTAAATAATCAACTTTTATTTCCTCTGCCAACTTTACACTAGTCACTTTGAATAGTAGCATACTTGAAGGGGAAAATGATTATACTTGTTTGTAAACAACATTTTATTTACAATTATGTGTCATCTCTAGCATGCGGCTAAACTGATAATTTTTTGTACTTTTTGTTTGTTTTCTTCACTGCACCACATTAGAAACCTGTGAGCACAAACTGCTGCCTTTAGAAGAAAAAATAGTAATAAAAAATTGAATTTAGTTTTTGGAGTTTGCTTTTATTATTGCTTAAGCTTTTAAATTATTTTGTTTTTTAAAAACTTTGCAGTAAACTGAATTTTATACTTTTAACTCTGCAGGATTATTGAGTTGTTTATGARAACAATCCAGACCACCCAATTAGCTGGCTCGTCACTCCTCAGTGTGTTGGAGGTGAGACGATCTAATAACAGCTTCCACGCAGACAAAGCTCTATTTTCAGGCTGTGGTTGAAGCCTGTAAACCTGCTTCCTGCTTTATTGTCCTCCTGGCGGGGCAGACGTTCCAGCAGTGGCCACTTTTTTTTATTGTCTGCTGTCATTAGTGGCTTTCCTCTGTCTCCTCACAATTATTTTTTTCCTCCTTCCCTCCCCTCGCCGTCTTTTTGTTTTTGTCTCCTCCTTTCCACCGCTCTGCCCAGCTCGTCTCTCCCTGTCTCTTCTCGTCTCGTCCGGGGTTTGGGATGCACCTCAGCTCGGCCTCCTCTCAGCTCCGGAGGCATTTTACGTAACTCAGTTTGGCCTCTCCTGCCGCAAAGTTGAAACAGATAAGACTCCCCTGAGAGGCGGGCGTGCAGACAAACATAAAACACGCAGACAAATTTGATCTTGATAGACACACTCTCAGCTGTTTGGTTTGGTTTGGTTTGATTGAAGCCTTCAGAATTTCTTCTCGTCAGTTTTGTTGTCAACAAAAGCCAAACTTATTTTTTTCTTCCTTTGTTCTTTATAAGAAATTTAAGTTGTAGTTCATGTTAATGTTTTTCTTATTAGCACTAAAGAATGATTTACAGCACCTATTATAAAAAAAAGTTAGGATGTTGTATAAAATACATATTTACAATCCTCATTAAAGCATATTTTAATTCACAATGGAATATAATTAACTTATCAAATGTTTAAAATATATGAAATTGTTCTAATTTGTGGAATATTTTCTAGAAAAAAAGGTAATTTTGAATTTTGTGGCAGCAACACGTCTTGAAAGAAGTTGATATATTGTAAAGGCAATAAAAGTTCAATCAGGCCGAAGAGAAGCCTTATGTCAGGGCTAGTCAACTGGCGGCCCGTGGGCCACGTCCAGCCTGCAGGTTACCTCTGCCCGGCCCACTATTGAGTCCCAATTAGCTTAAGTTAATATGCAAACAGCTTTTACATAAATTTTAAACTATGATTCAATGCAACAAAATAAACAAATATAAAAGGTAAAAGATCCCCCCTCCCTCAATGTCTGGCCCCTGAGCCAATTGAGTCACCCTGTCAAATATGGACCAAACCAAGGCGAAATGGGAAAACTGTGTTTTATGGTTAGATTATTCAAAATTTGAATTTCCCTCTGAAAACCATGGATGCTATCCCCTCCATACCAAGAAGGAGACTATTATCAGTTCACAAGCCTGCCTCTCTGATGGTATGGGGGTGCATTAGTGACTCATTCAAATCATGTTTTGTTTGGCGTTGTTAGAGCAAACATAGAGCAGTAACACCAAGAAGAAGAAAAATTGTTTGTTTTTAAACAATTTTGTTTCTCCTAGCTGACATGGAAACTGTCTTCCTAAAAAAAACAGTTGATAAGTTATCTGCAGTAAAACACATCTCTGCGTATTCTCTCTCTCGCAGCTGCAGAATGAAATCCTTGAGCAGTCTGAGGTATTCGGAGTATTTCAGGGAACAGTACAGGCCTACAGCCTCATGTATRCTGTGTTTACCAAGTGTTAATATGTTGTAAAACTGCAGATATTTTCTCAGGGGTTGTACAGATGAGACGTGTAAACTTGCAGCCATAGTTTTGTTCAGATGAATGAAAATCCACATTTCTCCTTCCTCACATAAAAAAAGCGATGTTCCCAGAACGGCGAAGCCTGGTAGAGCTCAGATCAGGTGAACTACCTTTGTTACATCTGAAGAGGCGCCTCAGGTGCAGTGAAAAGATGGAAGATAAAGGAAGTGTGCTCGGTGCCGACTCGCCCTTTGTCCTCGTTTCACAGTCAGCTAGGACGGCGACTGTCCTGTTGGGCCGGTTCTACCTCCCGTGTGCTCGACTGCTGATTCCATTTGATCAGGATGTGATGAAAGGCCTCCGCTGTGACACACGAGCCTGTTCCACACAAGCGTTTACACCACATTC